CCCCCTCCGTGCGCGAGTGGTAACCGAACCCCGGGGTCGGACGGACGGAAGCGCAGGCGACACAACGATTAACTCCCAAGACGGGGGGGAGGGGTGCCTAACGATGCTCCGCAGGAATTCGGACACGTGCCTCGACACCGCCACCACAATGGACCGGCGCTGCCCCCCTCCCCGTCCCGAGCGTGAATTGGGCGCTCCTCCCCCTCCTACTCCTCCCACCTGCCCCGCATTTCCATTCCTGCCTCGCCGCTTTGCGCAGCTGTTGTTTCTCTTCGTGATTGGTCCTCTTATCTCTCCGTGGTCGCGTGGAGGGAGAGAGGCTCCCGCGTGGCCTCTGCCGCTTGAGTTGACTCGCCGTAGCTCCTCTGCGTGCGAGATTGGTTATTTCTGAATGAAATGCGGCGGCGGTGCGAGAATTTATTTTGCAGAGTGGCGCTAATAATTATTATTCACGCGGTGTGCAGCGTTCGGAGATGTTCTTTACTTTTAGGGCTTCAATATCGCCCTCCGCCAGATTTCCTCTCTCGCGTTGAACTTGGGAACACGTTTAATTTCACCTGCGGGGACTCGGTGATTTCCACGAATCTTGATTTGAAGCTTTCGTGACTGCAGGAATTCATACTACGTGACTTTACCGAAAGAACCAAAGAGTATGTATGTTGTACTTCTTTTTCACCGTACGTAGCCAACCGTGCTAATCGGACGTTCGGGAAATTACAGATGTGATGATTTGCAAAAAAATGCAAGTCAGACACATTTGTGAATCGAATGAACATACATTGCTGTGTCTGTGCAGTTGTGCGGAGCGGTCGTGCAGAATTCATCGCGCTGCGCTGCCAACTCGGCGAACCGAGTTCGATTCCCACTCACAGCCAACACCAGTGATGATTGACTAAACCGGTCCTGGGCCTTCCTTAGGTCGACTCAGCTTGAAATGAGTACCTGTTGCGTTGTGCAAACCTTGCCACTTGGGACACAAAGGTGGCCGGGCGTGGTGCTGACCACGCCAACCACTTGTGCACCATGCCTCCGATGAGCACGGTTGGCTGCGCACGGTGCGAAAGACCTTCAACATACACGCATTCCAGCCTTAATAGGTGCTCACTAACAGCACTCGCTGCTCGAGTCGAAGAGGCTACACGGGGGATGATGACTCACTTACTGGACTATCCATTTTCAACGTTGACGATTGTCTCATCTAAAGACAGGTGGCCGCCGCCGCACAATGAGATTAGCGATCCACCCACTGCGTCCACTCAACCCACATAACTCTCGACAAAAGCCCCCACCCCGGGCAACGAACTTCCTCGGGTTATATAAAAAATTCTTTATCCCTGGAAGCACTGCCATCTTAATGTCGAGCATCCAGCGAGCCGCCCCCTTCTCAAACCGTGAAAGCTAGCGACAGCCTCATAGTTAAAAAAAAAACATTGCCGGGTGATTTAGAATCCGTCGAATCTGTTGAGGGCCCTAATCTGCGGGTGGTTACCTAATACCAACATCGGCCCTGTTTGCTGGCGCAGGGATTGAAGGGCCACGCGGACTAAGCTGGTGCTGCGGCAGCTGTAAGTCTCGAGCCAAAAGGCGGCACCTGATACGGTCAAGGCAGAGCCACGAGAGGAGCCCCAAAGCCCTCGGAGCTCGGCGGGGCCCGGCACGGCAGGTGCGGCCTTCCAGACGCGGACCCTGCGGGGCCCGTGACCGTCTACGCTGATTTAATCGCGGCGTTCCGCGGCAGTGAGAGCGCTGTTTTAACGCGTGCCGGGTGATGGCATCGCAGTTTTTTTTTCAGTTTTTCATTTATTTGGTATAGCCCTGTGAGCCATTCGGCTCTTGAATCGGGTGCAACCGCAACAAACTAAAACATGAAATAAAAACATGAACAAGAATACATCTTAAAGTGACTATGTGACTATGTGCAAACAGAAAATCCAGGAAAAGACAGCAAAATATTCCAGAAAAAGCACCGTACACCAACGCCGTGTGCAGTGGCGCTGATGGCACCAGTGTGTTGATTAGACGCAGTGGATGCTAAAGGCAACAGAGACAAACGGCTAAATATGTTGGTCGGGTACATTCCCAGAGGTGACAGCTGGATGGAGGAGGCTGAGCAAGGCAGGATGTGGGGACGGAGGACAAGAGGCAGGAGTAAGTGCTGCTTACCGTCCCAAAGGAAGTGGTGGGTGATGGGTGAGCAGTGAAAGCTCAAGATTGGATGGGATGGAGGGAGCTTGAGCCAGGGATCTGCTGCTGCCATTGGGCTGAGGACTGTGAAGGGAGGTGACATTTGTGTTGTTGAGCAGCAGCGATGGCGTTTTATTTTGGCGGCGGTGACGGCATCGCATCGCCAATGGAGCCCCCCACCTCCCCCCGGCGGTGTTTGTGAGCGGTGGCCCTCGGCAGCGAACCCCGTGGCAGCACCTTGTTGTTGTTTTCTATTTGAGATTTCGCGATCTTTGTCGTTGTTGTTGTTGTTGGGAGATGCACCGGTTGTACGTGAACACCCTGTCATGGAGGGGGGCGGGGGCGTGACTTGTTCCCGTGACCACTTTGCCTCGAATGTGCCCGACCTCGTCAGAGCTTTGTAAGCAAGCGAGGGTTGACACCTGGTCGTGATCGTGCTTGGAAGGGCAACTCTCACGCATCGCGAGCGTCATAGTTCACGATGTTATGCGGTGGGCAGTGTAGCAAACTCAAAAGTTGTACTGGACATCTGTGCTCCCACGAGAGCCACCACGGCACATCCTTTCCAAGCTTACCAATTGACCTCCGTTCAAATACAGCTGTCAGCGACACGTGATCTCTGAACTGTGACCAGGTTTTCACCTCCCGCCCCCCTCCCCTCACTTTCACCGGTCCGCACTGACCAGCGTGGTGAAGTATGGCCAAGCAGCCCCCGCGACGCGTACGTCACGTGGAAGCCTTCATCCAGCAGTGTGGATTGACAAAGGGCCCTACGTGTCCATTGATCGTACTTGGCGCTCGTTGTGCAAATATCGCTCGGCCGTTCGCCGCGTGCGCGGAATGGAGCGTCGCGTCTTGCAGCTCCTAGCGCGCGGGGGGGTGGGGGGGTGAAGCTAAGCAATGAGCGCTGGCAGCGCGGGTGGTGACCGTCGCCCCGGGTCAGGGCACGGTCAGGGTCCCGACTCCGCCGCTCCTCGTCCCCCCGCGGTCGCCGTCGCGGCTCTTGGCGCGCGAGTCGGCGCGGAGAGGCGGGGAAACGCGAGCCGCCGCCGCCGCCGACACCGCCCTGGAGAGGAATCAGATGCAGAGCGAGACGAAGGCGCTCTCTCCTACCATCAAATTAGCAACAGCTAATCCCGGTGCTCGGCCCACGATCACCGCTGGGGACGCTGGTTCTGAGTGGTCCCCCCGTTCACCCCCGCCCCGCACCCCCTCACCGTGACTCAGTCGCCTAAATGTGTGTGCCCCACACACGTGCCGGGAGCTGGGTGCTGAAGGTACCAATTAATTGTTTTCTCATTATTAACGATTTGAATAAAAACACAGGTGCCAGATTTCCTATTTTGCTGTTTTGTATTTGAACGCGAGTGCCATTTGTTCGAACACCAGTGCGTTGGAATGAATTCACCAGTACGATTTTTCCAGACAAGAGTCGCCCGTTAGCCTCACTCGCGGTCTGCGACGCGAGCGCATGGATGTGCTGCAGAGTATGGGTCGAGCGATTCGAGGTTTGAGTCAAAAACGTGCTGCGGTAGGTGGTGGACTCTGTCCGATCGCGGTTACAAGCAGGACGCGAAAATGGCGAGTTACGAACCTCGTTCTTTAAAGTGGGGGGTGCCTTTATCGCTTCTCTGTTCATGTCGAGGTTGTTGAGCCGTGTGCTGGCGGCAGTGGTGATGTTGTGGATGTTGCGGGTGATGTGGTTGTGGTTGTCTGCGATGTTGCCCGCGAGTAGACATAGCGGGCAGTGCCGGCCTCCGTGGTCCATGGTTTGTCTCTGGTCTCCGCAGCCCAGATATTCGGAGTTTGCGTGTCTCTCTTTCCCCGTGGTCACGTGGATTTCTCTCTTGTGCCTCCGTTTTTTTTCCCTCCACATTTAGAAACATGCGTTCATAGTATTTGGCAGCTATAAATGTCCACGTGACAAGCCGCTTCGTTGAGCTATCATTTGTGGCCAGGTGGCTTCTGAAAAAGAGCTATACAGCTCAGTGGGCCTTAGCTGGTTAATGACAAAATTGTTTAGTCTTAGTTTAAACGTTACTCATCGTTACTGTCACGCTCGTTCACCCAGGAGAGCCACGCAAAGTAACGTGTCGGTATTTGTTATTTGTTCCGCATGGGGATGTTTGGCCCATACCGGTTACATCTCTGTGGGTGTTTAGCTATGGGAGGAAACCGGAGAACCCGGAGCAAACCCACGCAGAACTGAGGGAGAACAAACACACTCCAACTTAGTTCCGTTAAATCGGGGACATTTCATCCATATATTAGTTGAGTTCTTTTTCCCACGTGTGCGTGGAAACCCAGCGAGTGTCGTTGTGATGCCAGCTCGACGTCGTTTATGGGACTGTGTAATGGTTCTCGAATTGCCCACGACTGATGTGGTGGAATCACAAAGGTCCCAACGTGCAAGTAACATTAAAATGCTTGGTGAATCTCTCTTCAACGGAAATGAATGCTCTCTTGTTGACCAGAAGCCAACTGGGCCATTTTGTTCCAATTTAAAAACGGTGACGTTAATGGAAAATGTACGCCCCGATTTGTAGATTTGTTTCTAATCTTTTCATCTTTTGCTTTGCCTCCCGACCCTGCTCATTAACACCACCCAACCCTAACCTTTCCCCTAATCCACACGACTCAAATCCTCCATCCTAAATTAACACCCGTCCCCTGGCACGACCGCTCCCACGGACCCCATCATCATCATCATCCCACGTAACTGCAACCCACCACAACTCTAAACCCTAACCCTTAACCACCCCATAACCACAACCCATCCCACTCCTCCTCCGCCCTATGTCCCTGGCGCCTTGCAGGATTAACAAGTTCCCTTGCTCCGCCGGTGCCGGCCCGGTCTCCTTGACCCCGTCGTTCGGGCCCAGCGGGCCCTTGGCCCTGCAGCTCTTCCTCGTGCAGGCCCAGCTCGCGGCCCAGCGCACGCTCCAGGCCTCCGTGTTCCCCGCGGCCGCCGTGCCGGGTGCCGCTCCCGCCCTCCTGGCCGTCATCAACCAGTTGCTGTTCACGGCTATCGGCATGTCAGGCCACCCCGCGCGGCCCACCGCCGCCCCGTTCTGCGGCCTCTTCCAGCAGGGCCCCGACGGCCCACGCAGCCCGCACGTGGCCCACACGGGAGGCCCCGGGTTCCCGTTCGTGGGCAACGAAGCGGCCACGGCGACGCCGCAGTTCCCGCGCGACGCCGGCAGCCGCTCGGCGCTGGCTGGCGGTGGTGGTGGTGGCGGCGGCGGTGGTGGCAGCGCGCCCGGCACATGGAACTCCCAGCACCACGCTCAAAGCCACTTCCGCCCGGCGGGGAACTCAGCGGTGCTGCCCGCATCCTCCGCGGCGGCAGCCGGCGGGAGAATGACGACGACGACGACGATGATGATGTCGCTAAATTCGTCTTCGTCTGGGCGCAGCTCCAGGCAGCAGCAAAACCTGCCGCATTTCAGCAGGGAGCCGATCTCGCAAGGATCAAAGTTGCAACCGACGCCACCATCGCACAACGGGCAGCAGCAGCAGCATCAGGGCCCGACCTGGGCCAGGTCTGGCCAGCGGCAGGGCATGTCGGAGGAGCGCGCATCCAACATCCTGGCCACCTTCGGCCTCTCGTCAGAGGACCTTGGGCACCTGGCGGCCTACCCTGACGAGGAGCTCACGCCGCACAACCTGCCCCGGATCCTGCAGGAAATCCAATCGCGCAAGCGAGACAACGGGTTCGCCACCACCACCATCGCCAACCACAACGACGAACGTACGAGGAGGATCGGCGAGGGTCGGAGCGGATCGCTGGTGCCGTACCGCGTGGACGTCCCCGACGGAGACGGACTCGGCCACGTCCTGTACGCAGGCACCTCGTCGTTCTCCTGCAAGGAGCTGCTGGAGGTGTACAACCCGGAGGAGCCCACGAGCGACGGCTACGAGGATGCCCGCGAGTGGGCCCTGCCCGGCTCCTGCGAGTTCGCGCCGCCGAGCGAAACCGACTCGGTCAAGAGCTGCGGCTCGGGCTCCGGCTCCGCCACGGGTTCCGGCTCGGGCTGCGCGAGCCGCATGGGCCGCAGCGACGCGGTGCGGCCCCCGGCAGGGGCGAGGGGGCCCGCGGCGCTCGGCTGGGAGAGGCTGGGCCGCACGGAGCCCACCGCGGAGGAGGCGGAGGACTTCCTGGGCCTCCCGGCCGCCGCCTTCCCCCGCACGTGTGCCGTCTGCGGCGTGCGGCTGCTGTGCGACAAGGTGCGGTATCCGCGCTGCGTGTCTCCACCCCCCCCTGCTCCCCCCCCCTGCTCCCCTCCCCCCCTGCTCCCCCCCCCTGCTCCCCCCTCCTTGATCCCCCCCTGCTCCCCCCCCCGCTCCCCCCCCCCCGCTCCCCCCCCCCCGTTCGCTACGACCTCAATAGGTGCTCGCTAACCACACTTGCCCTAACCATGTGTGTAGGCTACGTGGGGGATCGTTGTCTTGTGTGTGTGCCCACGGCAGGGTTGGCGGCAGCACATCACTGGCAAGAAGCACAAGAGCAAGTGCCGTGTGTTCGCCTTGCGGTGAGTCCCGGAGCAGCCACCACCACCACCATCCACCACAATCGCCACCACTGCAACCACGACCACCACTGCTAACACGACCACCACCACCACTGCCACCACCACCATCACCATCCACTACAATCACCACCATCATCGTCACCACAGCCACCACCACCGTCACCACCACCGTCACCACCACCACCACCACCGTCACCACCACCATCCATTACAATGACCAACATCGTCACCACCGCCGACGCCGCCACCACCATCACCATCCACTACAATCACCACCATCGTCACCACTGCCACCGCCGCCACCACCACCACCGCCGCCACCATCCATTACAATCACGATCATCGTCACCAAAGACAAAGATCCCCCGTATAGCCTTAACAGACTGTAGGGGCAAGTGCTTTTAGCGAGCACCTATGAAGGTCGGAACGGTACACAAGGGGGTGGGTGGCCAGCACCACGCCAGACCGCCTTTGTCTCCCCAGTGGCGATGTTTACACACCACACCGGGTACTCATTTCAGGCTGAGTCGACCTAGGGAAGGCCCAGGACCGATTCAGATAATCGTCACTGGTGTTGGCCGTGAGCGGGAATCGAACCCGGGTCGCTGGGTTCATAGCGCAGCGCGCTAACCGCTACACGACCGCTCCCCACCCATCGTCACCACCACCATTGCCACCACCACCAGTGCGGCCACCACCGGTGTCAATTTCTCTGTTGTGACAAAGCACATGTGCAGACAGGAGGAGGGCATGTTCCTGGGACAAGCATCGGTCTTGTTGTTCCTACCTCCTTTTTTTAACCAGGAGTTGAGATGAACCCGTTGAGACGCATGAAAACAGCATTACGTATTTCACAAGGGAGGGAGACCTGGGTTACAGCAAGAACTGAGTGCAAAGTGCCTGTGAAGCATTTAAGTTGAACGAACGTTCACCCGGGGGTCGGCGACCTTTTTTTGCCAGTGTCACAAGTGATGAAAATTAAGAATATGTTTAAACCTTTCTGGCAATAAAACAGGTGTGAAGATACCTTGCAAAAGGTATATATGTTTTGTGTTTGAAACATCTTAACACCTATTTTATTGTCAGAAAGGGTTAAACCTATTCTTAAACATGATTTAAAACAATATTTTTTTATTAATTTTTGATGCTTTTGTAGTTGTAATTTCGAGACACTACACTGGCAAAAATGTCCCATAGATGTAACTGCTCGAGCTGAGCTGTAAGTGTTGTCTTTGTATTGTTTGCCTCTTGGCGTTCTGTGGTCTAACACTGGAGAGACAAGGCCGTAAACAAGGCTATCTCTATACTAACTATGTGACTTTACCGAAAGACCCAGAGAGTATGAATTCCTGCAGTCACGAAAGCTTTAAGTCAAGATTTAAGGCTGTCTCTGGTGTAGGCCAATCAGTTTTTAAGACAATGTCATCTATTTATCAGAGGATGTTTGTTTGCATGTTTTGCCACAAGTATGTGTGGTTAATGCAGACTGCATGCCTTGCAAAAGATATCGATTTGGTGTTGGAGCATTTGAACACCTGTTTTATTGCCAGAAAGGGTCAAACCTTTTTTTAAATACAGATTTCCGGAAACCGAGAGGGTGGTGACCAATGGTTGGAACCTGGCAGAAGAAAGGAAGAGATGTTGAGGTGCGGTGACATGAACGGCATTGACCACGGTGACATGCCGCTGCCCTTGATGCTCGTTGTGTTGCTCGTGGTTCCAGATTCCCTACCTGGAGGCCGGCAGCAGACAGCTTGCACAGGTCGGTCTCCGTTCGTCCGTCCGTGTGGTCACGTGTGTGTGTGCGCGTCCGTGCGTCTTGTGTTCATGCGTCTCCGTCCTTCTCTTCCCTCTGTCTGTACCGGCTATCTGTCTGTCCCTCTATCTGTCTATCGGTTGGTGCGTCTGTGCGTACGTGCGCACACGCGCCGTTTCTTTTAACACGGGCGGAACCTTACGAATCATTTCCCGTCGCACGGTGGCGGGTAGCGTTGGAGCTGCAACGCGGCATAAATGTTTTTGCGACGGCGGTTGGGGGCCGTGGCGACCCAGCCGCGTGACGAACATAATTTTTTTTGGGAGGGCGGCGGTGGGTGGTGGTGGTATACGGGCTGGTAGCGTGCCAAGCTTTGCCAACTGGCCCTGCGGGACTCTTTAACAGGTGTGTCTGCTCCCGGCAGGTCCCCGCCGCAGTTTGGGTTGCCAGGCAACGGTCCCAGCCCGTCTGGTGAGGCCGCGATTCACCGGTGCTGCGAACGCCCCGAGCGACGCGTTGGCTCGGGGCAGGGCCGCATGCGCTCTGCGAGTTTCGCTGCCCAACATGTTATGGCCTTCCTGTGTGTGTGTGTGCGCGTTTTGTTGTCGTGGGTTATTCACGTCGCGTGCGATACAAACGACGCGTGAAGACGCGCGCTCGTGCGCGGCAGACTTAATGTCGGAAAGATTAATTAGCGAATGTTTTACATCGTTGAACCGGTTGGGGACCGATGGCACAGCGTTGTCGCGCCGCACCGTAAACACGGCCACCTGAGTTCGATTCCCGGCTAACATCGGTGGGCACAGTGATATCCGAATCGGTCCTGAGACCCAAACTTCACTAACCCGTCCTGACCAAAGCGGTGAAGTATGGTCAAACAACCCCCACGACCAATGCGGCATGATGAGGCGTTCATCCAGCACTGGATTGACAAACGGACGTAAGTAATTTTTTTGTCTGATTGTGAGCGTAATTTTGCGTTGCCTTCTGCAGTTGACGGGCCCAGCGGCGCCTCACCGGCGTTTGGTGGCTTTGCCGCGCTCCCCAGCCTCCCCCCCGGCGCTCCCCCCACACCGGCACAGCAGGTGCGGCACCTGCACTCACGCACACGCGCACTCACGCACACGTGCACTCCCGACCTGGTGCGGCGGTTGTTTTCCCCGTCCGTAAGCTGTGACCCGGTTACACAAAAAAACTTGCATGTGAAAGACCTGCCGCTCACAGTGACAAATGAACCCCTTGCGCTGCTCCCCTCCGTGCAGAGGAGGCCGGAGGCGTAAGCCATCGCGTGTGCGGGCAGCGCAACTGCACCGGGGCCTACGGGCTGGAGGCAAACTCTGAAGAGGAAGTGAAATTGGATCGGGGATGGCGGGGCGGGGGGGACGGGAACCCATTTAATTCCTAGCACCGAGGTGCATGACAACCAACCACGCTGTGCCACCACCGGCAGGTGACCCCCCGACCCCCCCGATCGCGATGCCGCCGCTCACCTATGCTCTGCACGAGACACGCCCCACGCCCCTATTAGCGAGGCGATCCCCGGGTCGTTACATAATCAGCACGCGGACATATTTGGGCAGTGGTCGGTGAGCGCATGACGGTCGCGGGGATCGGATGGCGGGTGCCGCTGCTGTCGAGTTGCGGTGCCAAGTCCTCGTGGGCGTTTAAGACGTGTTTTTTTTTTAAACTGCATCCATAACCTCGTTCCACATTTTATTGTTCATAAGGAGTTGTAAGGATCTCTACAGATCTATACGCGGTGTGTACGGATGTGTGACGCTTCACTCTCTGGGAGATGTGTGTGGTCTTCACGCACGGACCCGTTACCACGATTGGACTCGGCGTGCGTGCGCACATTCGTGTGGAGAATGGCCGGCTGTTGACGTGACTCCTGCCCCCTCCCCGTGACCCCTGACCCCGTGGCCTCACACGTGCCCTTTCTGTTTTGACGCTGTCGACCGCTGGGAGAAAATGTCCCTGGCGTTCAATCTCCGGGAAACTTGAAGCCATTTCGTGGAGGATTCCCTAGGAGGCCTCTGAAGGGTACAGCGGAAGAGTTTGGGCGCAAGAGTCACGCTCACCACCACCACCACCACGACTTCTCTTCCTCCACGTCTTGACTTAAAGCTGTCGTGACTGCAGGAATTAATATTCTTTGGGTCTTTCGGTAAAGCCACGTAGATAGACGTTTCGATCGCAACACAAGCAATCGTCATCAGGTGATTTTAGGCTGTCGGAAATTGGGCTGTTGCTCTGATTGATAACAACCTTGTCACTGTCTAACTTTTTAATATGTGGATCTGGCTTCTTCTTGGACAGGAGGTTGAACTTGCAAATCAGGTTATCTTTGCATTTAGCTGATATTGAGGCGGCTCATAGAGAATAAGATGGCTCCGATTTGAACGAGACAATTTAGACAAGACTCTTGCAATCACACTTAACATTGACAGAAAAATGTCTACATCTGATTGGGACCACGTAGATAACATGACAGCTTCTTCAGCCACCTCAATGTCAGCTAAACGCAAAGATAACCTGATTTGCAAGTTCAGCCCAATTTCCGACAGGCTAACATCACCTGATGACGATTGCTTGTGTTGCGATCGAAACGTCTGTATACATGGCTTTACCGAAAGACCCAAATAATATTCCTCCACGTCATCTGTTTAATTTAGAATCAGCTCAAGGACACTGGAATTACACTGAGAGACAGAAATAGGAAAACGTGAATGAGAGAACATGTGCAAGTTGATAGAATCATATTGCCTGTGAAGAAAATTAAGTGGAGTTGGGCAGAGACGATGGCCCGTGGTCGAGACTAACGCCGGAGTGGCAGCCGAAGGATGGAGTGCGTTTGAGAGGACATCCACCGCCGATGCGGGGCCGGTGAGATCCGCTCGTGCGCACAGCGGCCACGGTCGCATCGCAAGGTCGTGATCGATGGCGGCAACTTGGGGAGGCCCTTCATCCAGTGGTTGATTTATCACGGCCGATGATAAATATTTCAACGCTGTCAGCATTCGGGCAGCTGGCCAGCATGTCCTCTCTTGGGAGCTGCTATCAATTGAAATAAAAGGACCCGCAAGCGACATTAGAAGCCTCCCCCTGACATCCCGGGAGGGCCTACCTTAACCTAGACCAATGAGCAGCCCCGTTGCGTGCCTCTGTGCCTCGCGAGCACTCTGGGCCCCGTCGGGGGGGAACGCACTAAATTTACACGGCGCGTTTAATTTCATCCGTCATTGGTGATCCATTAACTCGCCGACGCTTGAGAACCCGCTTTAATCCTCGCGCCTTTGAACCACCCGGGCTCCGCGCGTACGCCACGTCAGCACGGACGTCGCATCGTTGCCACATCGCCCCGGAGCCAATGGGACACTGAGACGCCTCTCGCGTGACTTTAATATTTTGGCGCGGGCGCCGTTGGCAAACATATAAATAAGTGGCAGTCGGGACACCGCGACTCTTCTCTTTGTGCCGCGTCGCTCACAATTCTTTGATGTCGGTTCCGACTCGAGCGCTCGGCTCGGCGCTTCTCCGCAGCTGCCGAACGTCCACGTCGCGTTTGACGATCGCACGGCGCCCGGCACGCGGCCGCGAGAACGGCGAACGCACCGTGAATCACGTACCGCAGTGAACTTTGTGGGTTTATGTACATCCACATTGCGGTGAACTACTGTGAACTGTGGTCTCTATGTGAGAGTCAATGGTTGTCTATGTGGGGCTGTGGGTCACCAAATTAGTCTGTCGGTCTCTTTGTGAGTCTAATGGTCTCAATGTGAGGCCGTGGGTATCTGCGAATCTAATGGTCTCCATATGAGTTCGTGGGGGTCTATCTGAGTCAAATGGTCTCAATGTGAGGCTGTGGGTCTCTATGTGAGAGTGTGCGTCTATGTGCAGCCACATTGCGGTGGACTACGGTGAACTGTATACGAGTCTAGTGGTCTCTATTTGAGTCAATGGTTGTTCACCATTGTAACCTCCTTGGCCAGTAGCAACATATGGTAATGGGTTTTTACCCTTTTATCTGGCAACAAAACTGACACCTAATTGGTAAAAAACCAATGATCATATTTTGTTACTGGCAAAAGGAGGTTCCAATGGTGTAAATGCTTACCCCCGAGCTCTCATACTCTGATGGTGCATTGTCTTTGAGTTGTGCGCCTTTTGGCGTTATCTGGTCCAACACCATGTGAGACTACGGCTCTAAGAAAAGCTGTCTTGGGTGTGGACCAATCAATTTCAAGGACAGTGCATACATTATCAGAGTTGTGTTTTTTTTGCATTCCAACCGCAGGTATTGTGGTCAATGCAAACATGACTCCTTGTTAAAAAAAGGTGTTAGTTTTGTTGCCAGATAAAAGGGTAAAAAAAAATTATCAACGGTTGTTTTGTGAGGCTGTGGGTCTCCAAATGATTTTGGGTCTCCGTGCGAGTCTAATGGTCTCAACGTGAGTCTGTGGGTCTCTGTGTGAGTCTCTGAGTCACTGCAGTGTGAGATCGCCACATGGGAGGCGTACGCCAAGGCCTTTGGCCTGCTGACTCACCAGACCAATGCTGTGCAGCATTTGTCTGAGCGAGCAAATGCTGGACGGGTCTCAACCTCCTGGGCGTCGTCTCACGCGCGCGTGTTAAACGCCCGTCCATGCAGCCCGTTACGCCGGGATGGTTGTCATGCCGTTGCATGATAATGTAGATGGAGGCTCTTCTCTTCGAGTGACGACATCACGTGTATCCCTCTATCTGAGACCGAAACAGGAGGATGTCTTCACAACTCTGGCTGTCGCCTGATGAGGCTAGTTGCAATAATCGGCGAAACGTCATGGGTTTACTGTCCAACACACCGGTGTGCTGAACTAGTCACGAATTGGCACGTTTTGTTAACGTGACAAACCTTATTAAGTGGCTGTGTCGGGTGGTGGCGGGTTTAACGACGCATTTATAATCACGCAATCTAACCAGAAAACCTCTATTATAGAGATGGAAGCTGAATTTCCCGAGAAGATTGGAAGTATTTTTGATCGGCGGCTAATTGTTTGACGCGTGCTTTGCCACGTACGGTGCTTTTTACTGAGGGCGGGGGGGGGGGGGCGCAGAGGGGAATGCAGAACTGGGGTTCACGTGCAATTTGCAATTTTTGTTCCGATTCTTTTTTCCCCCCTCCAACCGCGAGTCCAGTAGGTCATCCATTTGTGAAATGAAAAACACGCTCAAAATAGACGGCTGCCCGTCTGGGGACTTGACTTGTTGATAACACAGGGCGATGGGCCATCGGCGTTTAAAGGGCGCGCGCGCGCGTGCACGTGATGCTCGCTGGCTCGCTGGCTGGCTGGTTCGCTCGCTCGCTCTCGTGGACCTTTGAAATCTCAGAGGCCTTCTTCTCGTGCGCGCGATCGTTGACCGGACTTTTGCCCTGTGCCGCGGGAGCGTGGGGGTTAGGGTTCAGCGCGGTGGTGATGGTGGTGTTGTTTTCGTTATAATAATAGTGATTATTATTATTATTACGAAGCTTGTTTACCCAGGAAAGCCTCGCTGAGTCTCGAGACACACGAGGGGGTTTGGTATTGCTGTGGGTAATCGGAACCGAGTAAGTTGCAGGGAATATTTCAGCATTGCGACGTTTGAACCAATACCGGTTACATTTTGTCTGTGTGTTTTTTTTTGCTGTCAGAGGAAAGTGGAGAATCCTGAGAATTCAGAAGCCCGAGTCGGGGAAACAAATTAAGATCCTTGTCGCTGCCGCCCTCCCGAAGAGGTGACGTGCACTCTCCGCACGGTTAGCGAGCCCAGGTAGCGGTATTCTATGTATGTATGTTGGACTTATTTTGCGCCAGACGTAGCCAACCATGCTTATCGGAGGTGTGGGGGAAGGACAACAATCTAAACAAACAAAAAGCAAGGATCGATGTGGGGGGCAGTTGGTCCTCACTTGGAACCGACTGGTGAGAGGCCGCCCAGCGGCTCGTGAGCAGCGGGTGCCAGGTGGATTATTACATCGCAGGATTGTTGGAAGAGGTGGCGGTGGCAGCTTCGGGAGATGCCTTCATCCAGCAGTGGATTGACCGTGGCTGATAACGATGAACAC